TCTTAAAAACTGAAACCGCCGTACGTTTTAGGGTATAAAAGTGGAGAAAATGTAGACCCAATTCACAATTCACCACAAGAGAGAAAGAAGGAACAGATTTGTTCTTCACAGAAGAAATGGCTACTGCAAAAGTCGCAACATTTACTCATCAACCCTCCTTCATGGGGATTTTATTCTTGGTTTTGATTTTCACGACAGGTATAATTTCTCTCTAAAAACTCTATTTTGATATCATACATATATACGAGTTAATGGTATTTTAGTTTTTGGATCATTCAGTCCTTAAGGGGAATGGTTAGTGTCATTAATATGGATGCAAATATATATGTAACTGACTTGTATAATTTTAGCAGGACTAACATCTGCACTGCAAGCACCGACTTGCTTGGGACCTTGTTCGGCCGTATCCAACTGCCAAGCCAGCTGTGTTGCGAAAGGATTTCCTAACGGAGGTGTTTGTGCAGGATTTTTGGGATCAGGGCTGGCATGCTGTTGTTTTTAGTTGAATTAATTTAGAAACATATAAGGCAATGTTAAGCCACGAAGGTTGGATCAAGTGGTAAGCGACTTGTTCCAGCTTAAGTAAGGTCTCGAGTCTCGAGTTCGAGTCCTTGCGTACGCAGCAGTCTTTGTTGGGAGGCTCACTCACCATTTTCAGGTGCGCGACCCGAGTCGGGTCCGGATTAGTCGGGGCAAAGTTTGGGATACTGAACAGGAAACCAAAAAAAAAAATATAAGGCAATGTTATAATTTGGAACCCTTATGATCTAAATTATGAAATAAAATAAAACAATAAATTTTCTTTAATTGACGCTTCTTCCTTCCTAAAACAATAGATGTCTTTTTATTTTATTTTTAGATTAAGGATTTTGGGACAAATTCTATTTTTACTTTTCTTTAAAAAAAATTAATAAAAATAAAAAATTTATTTTAATCAGAGGATATATAATTAAAATTGAGAGATTATTATAAGATTGAAATAAAAAATATATATATTTATCTTTCTTAAAATTAAAAAATTACTATTTTTTTTTGACAAATTTTAAATAAAAAAAGTTTATTATTCTTAGAGGTAAGGTGTAGTTTCTTCTCTTTCTCTCTTTATATATATAGTATTTTTTAGTACTTTTCCATATTAATTTTGTTATTTTATTCATGAATTTTTTTTTCAATTATTTTAGAGTATTGCAAAAGTCAATACACAAAGTCGAAATACTTACAAGAGAGAAAGAATGAGAACTAAGATGATACTTAACGTAAGAAGAAATAGAGACCGAGAGTCCGC